AGAGAGAGAGAGAGACAGAGAAAGAGTATTTCACGGGAAGTATTTCCGCGATTACCTCATTTTCTAATCTCGAGAATTCCTTTTACGTTTTATTTTGTCTTCAAAAAGGGTGTTAATCACGTTTCGAGCAATCGAAGGAAAAGCGCGACTATTTTATTCTCGGCGATGACTCGGAAACAGGCACGTTAGAATTCCCTTACCGAGATGCCGCAAGATGGAATTTGCGAACGTATAATGGCCCGCCGTAGTCGAGACCTATATTTAGCGCGGCGCGCAGTTTGCTTTTTCTGATGAACCATTAAAACTTCGTTGAACCAAGCCGGAAGCTCGTTCGACCCCAGACAGTCTCCAACTTGGAGACCGGTGCGAGCTTTAGCGCGATCTTACATGAAGCTGGAACGTACACTGCTAGTTAAAATAGGTTATATATAGGTATATACACGAAATACATTACGTTTGTCTTGATGGTAAACACACGTGCCGTTCGTATTATCGTAAACATATATATTTCCGCTTTGGAGGAATATATTTCGGGAAAGTGCTACTGACTTTCACAGAGATTTGATCGAAATTAAAGAGCGTGCGTTTTAATGAATTATTAACTCCAAATATCCACGACAATTGGTTGGATTGGTTGGAGCGGTTGAATACGTTGTCAACTTGAAATTTGATTGACAAACTTTCCAAGATAATTAGAAATTTTAAATTAACTTTGAAAGATAATCGCAACACGAGGTTTATACTTTATTATATAATCGTTAATTAACAATCGGCAAATCAATCGGCTGCAAATATGATTTATTCGTTAAACATACATTGAGGGGCACAGGTCGCAGGTATTTCCTCGCGAGTAATTTATAACGACGTTATAATTGTACACACGACAATGTAATAAAGTTACGTAAAGCCGGTATATTCGGCACACACATGTCAAAAGAGACGTGTGTTAGATAAATGGCCGGACGTTCGCCACCGTCGAAATGATCCGTTCGACATCATTAATTTAGATTTTGCAATTTATACTATACGCATTTGCGCTAACATTCTGCTATCACCTGATCGCCAGCGCGCCTCGCGTGACCACTCGCTCCGTAACTACTTTTCTTTGCCTGTAACTACTTTCGCTGCTTAATTATTAAACGCGCACGAACATAAAGATTTCTCAGAGCGTTCGCTCCTGTACGCGGCCCAACTCTATTAATAACCATCGCGATCGCGAAGTAAAGCTCCAGCTCGATTTGATCTCGATCCAATCTGTTTCGAGATCGATGGCAAATGGAGGAGAATATAAAATTCTAAATGGGATCGGTTCCAAATCTTTTTTTTTTGATGGCACGGTTCATCTCGCGAAAAAAAAATTGCGAGCAATCTGGGACACTCAGCGTATGCCACGCAATTAAACTTTCAGAGTTAAATTCCCGAGTATGTCTGTATACGGTGCCCCCTCCCCCTCCCCCTCTCCCCCTCTCCTTCCCCTTTACCTACAAAAGTCTGCCTTCCAATTTTAACGCCGTCGCCTTTAACTTTCCCGTATACGCCCGAGATGTGAAATTGAAACGGGTTTACAATGACAATTAGCGTGTCGCTGCTTTTTCGTGGAACTCGACGTCGAATAAATCGAAAATCGCGGAGTCTGCGCTGTTTAACAAAACGAGCCCCATTGTCTCACTGGCGGAGAGAACCAACACCGCGCGATGTTTGCATCCAGTGCATTATGCCGCGATGTGTGCTTTCTTCTCTTTTTCTTCTCTCTTTCTCCCTCGGTTTTCTTCTCTTTCTCCTTTATAAGTGGAATAATGTTTCGAATCGGTGTGTGTAAATGCGTGCGGCATAAATTCCACCATCATTTGTGTAAGCGTTTCTGCTTTAACGACGCATTTCACCGCACGAAGGATAATGGTGAAACGTGAAGTATATTTTTTTTCTTCTCTCGCGAGAAGTGGGATCCTTCTCCGAAGTGTTACTTCTCGCGTGTTACCTTTTCGAATTTTGAGCGATGGACTCTCGATGGAAAGCGAGCATAAATGCATAAATAAAAAAAAAAATAAAAAAAAAAAAAAAAAAAAAAAAAAAATTTATATATAAAGAAACAAAAGCGCCCATCGCGTATACTTTGTGGAGAGACGTATCATTCTCTCGCATTGAAATTTCTCCGTTTTCGAATTTTCATTTTCTTCGCCGTGTGAAATATTTTTCTGGTCCGTGGCGGGCCAGATAACGAAGTCGATAAAGCCAGTCGTGCAAAAATGATCCGACTCTATGACGTATACCGGTCGCGTCCGCGTGAAACCGCTTTTAAAAACCGCCGCCTTTATTCCGGATATATCGGTGTGCCCGTCGAAACACGAGGACACCGTTGCACTTGCATGAAAATAGAATTTCCACGAAAGGCATACCGTACACTACTAGTATCGACTTCTCAAAGAGAAAAAGAGGATTCCATTGTGCGATAATAAGCGTCGTGCTCGTTAATCGCCTAGTCGCTTTCTGTTTCGTCTAAATAGTCCTTGAATTCCTCCTTTCTAATTTCTTTCCTACGTTAATTAATAAGTCGCTAACGAACTGCGATCTCTGCGTATCTTGGCCGCGAAGTGAAAGAAACGTTAACACAATCGTTAAATCCAATTAGAGTTATCCGTTAAATGCGTGCGTGCGTATTTGGAGATATCGGCTGCGCCGTAAATATTTATTCGATTTAAAAAAAAATGTTGAGCGTCCCTTCGGTGAATGATGAATTAATATGTCACGGCTGAAGAGAAATATTTTGATTGCAAGATATTAAAATAGAGTATATTATTTTAATTATAAATGTCAGCGCGTTTTAAATCCGTTGACGTTCACCGTGTAAATTCTGATTTTTGTCGAGAAAGGCAAAATTTGCGTATGCGTCAGAATAATCAAATCGTGATGCTGGATTTACACGTACGTGTATCCAATTTTAACGATTGAAAAGCTTATTCGTCCAAATCTAGTCCGCTTAATGCCCTTAATAGCTGTATGCAATTATGCAGGTTAAGCGAATTGATCGATTATTTACGCGTCATTAATTCCCGTCATTGGTATTTCCGATGCGCCTAGAAAACTTTAATTTAGTTCAATTCTCTGCCCGTACAACTTTCTGGACGGTTTTCTCCCATTGGATACTCACGTAATTCCAACAACAAAGTTTGCCTTGTATCGATAGTTACGAATTTTCTCCGTTTACGACGAGTCGTTTTTGTTCACCTTTTAAATCACAGGGATAGATTTCAAAATTGAAG